TGCTTTTACTTGGTCAGCAGACTGTGAGAAGAGTTTCTCTAAGCTTAAGGACATGCTTACGAGTACTCCAGTCCTAACTCTACCAAAACCCAATGAGCCTTATGTTGTGTACACGGATGTATCAAAGACTGGACTGGGCTGTGTTCTGATGCAACACGGAAGTGTGATTGCTTATGCATCACGGCAGTTAAGGAAACATGAACAGAACTATCCGACACATGACTTAGAGATGGCGGCTGTAGTGTTTGCTCTGAAGATTTGGCGGGGTTACTTATATGGGGAAAAAGTCCAAGTCTTCACGGATCATAAGAGCTTGAAATACATTTTTACTCAGCCAGAGTTGAATATGAGACAGAGGAGATGGATGGAAACAGTTGCAGACTTTGACTTGGATATAGCTTACCATCCGGGAAAGGCTAATCTAGTGGCGGATGCTTTGAGCCGGAAGAGAGTAGCCGTGGATTCAGAGAAGGATATGGAGGAGCTCGTCAACATGGTGGGAACCTTACACTTGAATGCCTTGATCGACGATTTGGAACCGTTGGGTATTGGTGCTGCGGATCAGGCAGACTTGCTGACCAGGGTTCGGTTGGCTCAGGAGTTAGACGAGGATTTAGTTAAGGCAACAAAGAATGATCAGTCTGAGTACCAGACTTCGAACAATGGGACTATAGTGGTGAATGGCCGAGTGTGTGTTCCGAAAGACCAGAAACTCCGAGAGGAAATCCTTAAGGAAGCACACCAGTCGAGATTTTCGATTCACCCCGGGACGACTAAGATGTACCGTGACCTTAAGCGATATTATCAGTGGGTCAGAATGAAGCGAGATGTGGCTAAGTGGGTAGCCAGATGTTCGACTTGTCAGATGGTCAAAGCCGAACATCAAGTTCCGAGTGGATTACTGCAAAGCTTACCGATTCTCGAATGGAAGTGGGATATGATCACGATGGACTTCGTGACTGGCTTACCGTCCGTGGATAAGAAGGATGCAGTATGGGTCATAGTCGACATATTGACTAAGTCAGCACACTTCTTGGCGATTAACAAGATGGATAATGCTGCGGTTCTAGCCAAGAGATATGTTGAGGAGATAGTCCGGTTACATGGAGTGCCGGCTAGTATTGTATCCGACAGAGACTCCAAGTTTACTTCAGCTTTCTGGAGAGCCTTGCACAAGGCGATGGGAACTAAGTTACACATGAGTATGGCTTACCATCCGCAGACTGATGGACAGTCCGAGAGAACTATCCGGATACTTGAGGACTTGCTGCGAGCTTGTGTCCTGGATTGGGGCGGCAAATGGGAACATTATCTGCACTTAGCCGAGTTCTCTTATAACAATAGCTACCAAGCTAGCATCGGGATATCGCCTTATGAGGCTTTGTATGGCCGGCCTTGTAGGACTCTCTTATGTTGGACCCAAGTAGGGGAGCGAAGTATCTTTGGCCGAGACTTTGTTGAGGAGACAACTGAAAGAATCCGAGTATTGAAGCTTAAGATGAAAGAAGCTCAGGACAGACAGAAGAGTTATGCGGATAAGCGCCGGAAAGAGTTAGAATTTGCAGTGGGCGACATGGTTTACCTCAAGACAGTCACCTACAAGGGAAAAGACCGAGCTTCACTGAATGGGAAGCTAAGTCCGAGGTACATGGGACCGTATCAGATTCTTGAGAGGATCGGACCAGTGGCGTATAGGCTGGATTTGCCACCATCTATGGAACAGTTTCACAAGGTGTTCCACGTTTCTATGCTAAGGAAATGCATAAGTGACCGGGATAACGTGGTGCCTGAACCACCTTCAGACTTAAAGGAAAACATGACCATTGAAGGGAGACCAGTCCGGATTGTGGGAAGGAAAGTTAAGGCTGACGGAAGGAAGAAAGTTCAGATGATCCAGGTCGTTTGGGATTGTGATGGTGAAGACGAAGTAACCTGGGAACCAGAGGCGAGAATGAAAGCAGAATTTCCTAAGTGGTTCGATAAACTTAAGGAAAATCTGGAGTTAAGTGGACCAAAGAAGACTCGAAGACGAGTCTCAGCTAAGGGGGGGAGAGTTGTAACATCCGTGATCCTTGGATCAAACTGAATCAGTCGGATTAAGGCCATGAATATGAAAAATCAGGGGGTTGTCCGAGTAAAGATTGGGCTATCGGTTGGAAAGAGGTATAGCCGAGCTAAAACGAGCTGGAACGAGCCAGTTCAGCTGATTCGAGTGTTTAGCCGGGAAAGAATGGTTCGGACAAGTGAGAATCCGTCAGTCCGCGAATTTCGGATAGTTGGTCGGATTTCCGACTGGTCAGTTTACTGAAGTCCGAGCTAGAAGGGAGCTGAGCTAAGTATGTCCGAGTGAAAATGGGATTGGACAAGGAAGCTTTGGACAAACCGTGTTTCTCAGGCCTTTGGTCGGGATTCGGACAGGACGGTTATATTGTTGGAGCTGAGCTGGGATGGTCGAATGACTTTGTGGAATTATCGGTTGAATTATGAAAATATTCGAGAAGTTAATAAATAGCCGAGCGGGAGCGGTTATATCCGAGGGAATTATTGAAAAAGGCACGGACAAGATTGGCGGGAACAGTTATCGGTTTCATCCGAGAGAATTGATCGGCTAAAATCAATCAGAACCGGCTATTGAGTGAACCAAGCGGATTTCGTCGGTTCAAGTGAACGGGAACATTAATCTGGTCCGGCTAAGTTAATTGATCGAGGGAAAAAGTGCGGGAACGGTTCTGGCATTTGGTTACTCGAGGGAAAACACAGCGGATTGAGTTATGGATCAGTTATATCCGAGAACCGTCATTTAACAAGGGAAATCACAGAAACTTCATTATTCTGCTAAGTATCCGAAAGAAAAACAAAGAGAAAAGAGAAAGAACAACCGAAAAAGATTTCATCCGAGAGTTTGTGATCCGACCGTGAGATATCCGAGAGTTCATCGAATCCGATCGTGGGATAGCCGGGTGATTCCGTCTATCGCCGAGGAATTTTGTCTGCGTCCGAGAGAAACGTTCTGAATCAGGGAGTTCTTCTGAAAACCGTCGGCTATCTTCTTGAATCTGCAACAGCCAAGAAACAAAGGTGAGTGCGTGACCGTTGTTACAGATTTAGAGTCGTTCTCGAGCATAGATTCACTTAATCCTTGATTGATTAGACTGTCTTGGCTGAATACTATTATTATTCGATGTTCTGCTTGATAATAGTAAGGCTTTGTGCCGTGGTAAAGGCTTTGTGTCGTAGTAGAAGGCTTTGTGCCGTGAAGGCTTTGTGCCGTACTAAGGCTTTGTGTCGAGGCCATGTGAGCCGGAATATAGACTGTTTGAGAATTATCGATTATATGAATGGACTGTTGGATGCGATTTTCTTGACTGTGGCTAAGTGGGACGGGATGACCGCTCTCACTAAGCAATTCTGTTGCTTATGCCTCCTTTTCGTGGATGCAGGTGATTTAGCCCGTGATAGGAACTGTTTTGGACCGCAGGACTAAGGCAAAGAAGAAGGATGTTAGGCTTGGGTAGACTATGGTCGAGTAGAACAATGTAATAGCTTATAGCAAACTGTATTAGCTTATAGCGAACCTTCATTGTATGCTCGAACCTCGTTTTTACCTAAGTAATGCATTGTGTTTAAAATGGCTTGAATGAATCGAAAAAAAACGCTAAAAATGACTAAGTATGGGAAAAACTTAAAAATACCCGAGACTGGCCAGGAAGTGGCCGAGTCAAATCCTTACCGCAGTTCGGATTTCCGGATTAGGGCGTTTCAGAAAGCAATACAGACTTGTTCCAAAGGGTTAAATCATAGATTGAAGGAAGATATGATAAGCCAGTTACCTGATTGTTTGATATGGCAGATTCTTTCTCATCTTCCCATAAAGGAAAGTGTTAGGACAAGCATTTTATCCAGTAGATGGAAGAGTCTCTGGCTTTGGGTTCCAAGTTTGGAACTGAGCTCCAGAAAATTCCCAGATTTGAGTAACTTTGTGAGTTTTGGTGAAAGGTTCTTCGATTCTAACAGGGCTTCATGGATACACAAACTCATTCTTGATATTTGTGGAATTGAAGACGATGCCTCCTCTTATCTCAAGTCATGGATTGGTGCTGCAGTTAAGCGGAAGATCCAACATCTACAAGTTCAGTGTTATCCATAGTATCTTTACGAGATGCCCATAAGCCTTTTCACCTGCGAGACACTGGTGTTCTTGAAGCTTCAGTGGGTGGCCTTGCCTGATGCAGAGTTTGTTTCTTTGTCTTGTCTGAAAACTATCCATCTCGTACAAATACGATACCCCAACGAGGCAACTTTCGAGAGACTTGTCTCATCCTGCCCTGTCCTAGACGAGTTAAAGGTCTTCGTAGCTATCAATGATGCAAAATTCTACCGGGTGCACTCTCGGTCACTGAAGAAGCTCACGTTTATACGAGATTCTTCTGTTCAGCTCGATTCTGTTTCAGGAGTTGTGATTGATGCTCCTCTACTACTCCGTTTGGGCATCTATGATAACGTATCAAGTATCATTCTAGTAAACAATTTGGATTTCAATGCCAAGTTAGGTATTACTTTAGACTTTGGTTCGGTGGGGTTTGAAGAAGCAAGCGTTGCAGCCAGGAGAAGCCGCATCCGCAGTTTTCTTCCCGGGATCTCGAGGGTTAAGAATTTGGTCGTAGATTCAGACACTTTCAAGGTATATATACATACGTATTTGGCCATGCTCATTTTCTATAACGAAAAGTTTTCTGACACACATTGACTTCTGTTTGGTTTCAGGTCATTCATGACTATTCAAAGTTAGAAGGGCTGCCTCAGTTTCGTTCCTTGTACCGTCTGCATGTTGTACTCTGTGTATCCGGTTTGAATTGGTTACCAATCTTTCTTGAGAGCTGCCCGAACTTGAAAGTCCTTATCCTGGTGATGATCTGCTCAGCCCAATGAGTTTTTTTGTTTGTTTTGTTTTCATCTCTTGTGAAGTTTCTGTCTATCTTCTCATCTCTTTTTTCCCTCAGGTATTGGCTGATTATGACGAATCCGAGTTGAATAAGATCACGTTTCCATCTGTTCCTGAATGTCTGGTATCGTCGCTCCAGTTTGTTATTGTTGATTTCGAAGCCCCAATCTCAGGAGATGCTTCAGAAATGGAGCTGGTGAAGTACTTCCTAAAGAATTCAGCGATCCTTAAGAAACTCACTCTATGTGTGAACCATGGTTCGATAGACTCTGGCATCTTCAAGGAGCTCCTCAAAATCCCAAGACGATCTGCTACGTGTCGAGTTGTCGTCATCTGATTGGTAAAAGCGTAGGATAGAACAATGTGAAGAAGATTTGTCTTTTGTTAAATCAGTTCGATGTAGGAATTAAAGCTCTCTTGCCACACAAGGAATGTAGGTTTAGACTATTGCGTATGTTTGTTACTCTATGTTACTTAATCACTTAACCAGGCATTAATGTCCTGCAAAATGCAATATCTTGCAACAAAAGTTTTTAAACAGTCATTTTCGAAAGTTACTCTCTTAAAATCCAATGTTCCCATGACTAAAAAGTTCTCCTCGTGACGATATGTACTGATTTGGATTGGCGTACATCCATTATTGCTCTTGTCCATCCGATAACATTGGACTCCGACTCCTGCGCATTCTCGAATGTCAATGACAATGCATTTGTGAGTTTCGCTGACAAGTTTTATACTTATTTTACACGAGTCACATGCATACAATTACATGATACGTATATATATGAACTTCGGTTACGTATTTAGCATTTTAGCTTACTACTGATGTTGCAGATACGTCTTGTCTCACCTCATGGATTGATGTTGTGATGATCAGTACGTGCATGAGCTACATTCTGAGAAGATGAATTGCCAAATCGAAGTTTAGCCTCAGTTTGGTCAAATGTACCGTTCGTGTAATCTAATTTGAAATTGTTACCAACCATTCTCAAGTAATTGGATAATTAATTAATTTTAATTAATTAAATATTTATAATTATTTGTTACCTTTCTAAGTGAGATTAATTCCAAATATTTATTACCTGTCAAATTGCAATATTTACCATTCAATTCACCTGTTTCTATCTGTATTAAGATCATAGGATAAGAAGCAAGAGGGTGGCAACCGATCGAGAGAGGTCATAGGATAAGAAGCGTGAGGATTTCTTCGGATTTTATGAGGTGTTGATCTTCCACGTGTCTTAGCCACTCGAGCGGGCAATATGATTCACAGCCCTAAAGTCCATTCCGGTGCGTTCTTCTTCTTCGTCTTTATATTATCCTCAGTTCCTTGGTTTTTGTCATCTTCAGCAAAGAAGCAGTGCATGTGATTTAAGCTCTTCCTCTCGCTCTCTCAGTCTGCTTTGAGTAGATTAGTTGCACGCAAGCTAGTGCAATTGTCCGCATTTCATTCGGTCATAACAAGGTGCATACTTCTTCTTCTTCTTGCTAGTCATTTCCATTAGACCATAGAAACCCTAGCCTGATTTGAATATTCTTATTGTGGTTCGGCGTACGTAGTCGTCTCTCTCTCTCTCTCGGGCTGATGTTGATGTTATATACTATATGAATCTCGTTTGGTTCAGTGTGGATTTTGAAATTTGAACTTAAGGATAGGGTTGATTAGTTTTGGTTCGCTTTTGTCTCTCTGAAACACTTGTCTTTTTCAATTTGAACTTTTAAGGATAAGGTTGATTAGTTTTCGTTCTTAATAGTTTTCTACAGGAGACAACACATGGGTGGTAGATGGAAACCCTAGCCTGATTTTGAATAGTCTCTCAGTGTGATTCTGAATAGTATTTGTTGGTTCTTGATCTATAGTTTCATAAGACCATAGAAACCCTAGCCTGATTTGAATAGTCTCAATGTGGTTCTGAATAGTATTTGTTTGTTCTTGATCTATAGTTTCATAAGACCATAGAAACCCTAGCCTGATTTGAATAGCCTCAATGTGGGTCTCTCTCTCTCTCGGGATTTTCTTATGCATATGTCACTATGAATATACTTTATAGATATCGTTTGATTCAATGTGGATTTTGATACTTCCCTTCTCTGGAATTTGAACTAAAGGATAGGGGTTGATTAGTTTTGGTTGTATTTAACATACTTTTGTATCTCTGAAACACTTGTCTTTTTTAAATAGTTTTCTTCAGGAGAAAAGACATGGGTGGTATATCGAACGCGATTAACTCTCGTCCCACTTCCAGAGAGTCAAGTCATAGATTGAATGAAGACAGGATTAGCTACATACCTGACCCTCTGATCTGTGACATCCTCTCTCATCTTCCCATAGAGGACGCTGTGAGGACAAGCTCCGTAAACCCTAAATGGAAGAGTCTCTGGCTGTGGGTTCCAATTTGGAACTGAGCTCCCGACAATTCCCAGATTTCGATGACTTCAAGACATTCGGTAACAAGTTTTTGGATCCCAGTAGGGATTCACGCATCCACAAGCTCATCTTGGACATTTTCGGAGATGATGACGATTCAGACGATGCCCCTTATCTCGCTGAATGGGTTGGTGCTGCAGTCAAACGCAAGGTCCAGCATCTAGACGTTGGGTGTCATCCAGCTGAGTATCTTTGCGTGATGCCCACAAGCCTCTACACCTGTAAGACGCTGGTGTGCTTAAAACTCTGCGGGGTGAAAATGGCTGATGCCGAGTTTGTTTCCTTGCCTTGTCTCACGAAACTGGACTTGAAACATAATTGCTATCCCAACGAGGCCACTTTCGAGAAGCTTGTCTCATCGTGCCCTGCCCTGGACTATCTGAAGTGTATCGTAGCTAAGGGTGATGAGAAATCCTATCGGGTGCAGTCTCGGTCACTGAGGAAGGTCTTTATCATTAGGTCTTCTCATCTCGAGGCTGATTTTGTCTCGGGAATTGTGATTGATGCCCCACAGCTATGCTGTTTGAGCCTCTTTGATAACGTATCAAAGACCATTGTAGTGAAAAATCTGGAGTCCGATGCCATGTTAGGTGTTGCTCTCGAATTTGGTTTGGAGAATTCACATGAAGTAAGCGTTGCATCGAGGAGAAACCGCTTCCGCAGTTTACTGTCCGGGTTCTCGCGGGTCAAGAACATTGCCCTAGAATCAGACACTTTCAAGGTATGTATATACATACATGTGTGCTCATTTTCATTTTTTTTTCTTTATATAATTAATGAAAAGTTTCTAACTCACAAAATTAATACTTTCTGTTTGGTTTCAGACCATGTGTGACTATTCTGAAATAGATCCGCTGCCTCAGTTACCTAACGTCTCCTGCATGGTTGCTACAATGTGTGTGTCGGACTTGAAGTGTTTACCGACATTTCTTGAGAGCTGCCCGAAACTGAATTCCTTCGTCGTGGTAATGATCTGCATCAACCCAATACAATTTTTTTTTTCCATCTTTATGAAACTTGTGTGCATTTCCTCACCGCGTTTTAATCGGCTCTATTTGATTCAGTGGTTAACTGATCATGAGAAAATGGGTTCTGAGGAGGTGAATCAAATCAGTTACTCATCGGTTCCTGAGTGTTTGTTACGGTCTCTCGTGTTTGTTGGTTTCAAAGCCCCAATCTCTGGACATGCTGCTGAAATGAAGCTAGTAAAGTACTTCCTAGAGAATTCAGCGATCCTCCAGAGGCTCACTCTATTTGGGAACAGTGGTTCGGTAGACGATGACATCTTCAAGGAGGTCCTCAAAATCCCAAGACGCTCTGCCTCCTGCCAAATCCTTGTCAGCTGATTGGTAAAGCTTAGAGAGAAGATGTGAAGATTTGTCTTTTTGATAAATCAGTTTGATGTGGAAATTCTCGTGCCCTTCTTGTGTTTGTTTCTTTGGACTAAGTAGAGATGAAACTCTTTTGATTTAAGATACTTTTGCAAGAAATTGTTGTTTTTTGTTGTTGTTTGTTGTTGTTGTTGTTTTTTCTGGAATAAAGTTTGTTACTCATTTTTGTTTGTTCTTCAGTCTCTTAACCAAACAATGAAGCTATTAAGTTACTTCCTGAAGAATTCAACAATGGAGGAAATGACTCTTAAAGTTATTTGATTAAAATAGGTAAACAAAGCAAAAAGAAGAAGGCAAATTGGGTATGTCATACTCAAAGAACTCTTTGCAATGCCAAAATGCTCTAGCGTTTGTAAAACCTATGTTCTTTAGTTGAGGAATCATTCTTTAAAAATTATACTATTTAAAAAGAATATATTGTACTTGTGATTCCTTTTTATTTTTTATGTTTTAGGGAACTATAATGTTAATATATTCTCTATAAAAAATGAGAAGGAATAATTAATAATTCATATTATTTTATTTATTTCATTCATTTTCCTATTCATTCTTACTGTTAATTTGATTTAATGGTCACCAGTTAAAACTAAAAATAGTCTGGTGAGGTTATTTTTTGGTCGTTTAAATTGGTTGATTCATAGGAGCTATGAGCTGCAAACAAAATATATCAGTGCTTAAGTATTTATGTTCCCAGGTGGTCACTACACTAATTACTGATTTAATTTCGATTATTGATTTTTACGCCAAGCATTTGATGACATATATAGCTAACTCAAACATTGCGTGGTCTTTATTTGTATATATATGTAAGAAAATATATGTATGGTTTTGAGTCTTTAGTTTATTTTATGGGCTTGATTAGCAACTGTAATTGGCTTAGTATAATTTGATTAGGGCAATTTAGTTGAATTTGATTTAGACGATTTAGTCAAACTTGAACAGATGGGAGAATTTCCAATAAATTCAAATATAGAATTTGTAGTACGTAAAAAACCCAAAAACAAATAAATTTAAAGGGTTTAAAACTTTTTTGTGTCCTAGCCCCTAGGGATTAAAATGGAGAGAGAGAGAGAGAGAGAGAGAGAGAGAGAGAGAGAGAGAGAGAGAGAGAGAGAGAGAGAGAGAGAGAGAGAGAGAGAGAGTGAAGCTTAAGCTCCTGCGACACAAGAAATGCATGTGTAGCCTTTTGTTTAATTTATATTATGAACCTTTTGGAGTACATTTGGATGAAAAGTTACAGTTACGCCACGTTTTGCAAGAAATCTTTTTGTACTGTTTATAATCGGTGGTTTATTGTTTTGTGTGAAACTATCAATCTGCTAGTCTTTTTGTTGGTTTGTGTGAGAATATGAAAGGAAGTTTTTGTTTATAAACAAGTTGAGCGCCGAACTTATTTAGTCTTTTTTGTTTATATTCCTTTCGGCTTGCTGCTGTCTTTTATTTGTTTATGTTCATACGAGTTTATTGGATATACGATAGTGGCTCGTTTTTGGTTGGTTCGGATCTTTACTTGAATTATTTTATAGTTTATATTTACGCGATGATTATTTGAAGAGCTTTGTGAATTTAGAGATATAGAATCAAAAAAAGAGAAATGTTGTGAGAATTATTATTTATTTGAGTGTAATTGTGAATTTACTATGAACTCCATAATTAACAGGTATTATCATATTAATATGTATTATCCATTTTACTTTCATCTTAAACATGCGATATTATACATCTGACCTATTCTCTGTTGTTAAGTTATGTATTTTTAAATGCGTTGTAATCTGTGACCACTTAAAGTTACATATAATAGTAATGGAAAAATCCAGAAAAGCGTAGTATATATGATAGTGGCTCGTTCATAGTTGGTTCGGGTTTTTACTTAAATTCTTTTATAGTTTATACTTACGCGATGACTACCAGAAGAGCTTTGTGAATTTGGAGTCTCAAGTCCAACAAGCAAGTCCCTTTCATCTTGGACGATTATGGGGAAATATAAATAGTTTGATTTAGTCATATTGTATAATTAGGTGATTGCCTGCGCGACGCGCAGACCAATACTAATATTGATATATTTAGAGATATAGAACACAAACATCAGCCCATATATACATAACATTAAATATAAGCTTATGTATTACAGCCTATTGCCTATTTTGTAAGCAAGTGATATGCTCAAATTAATCCTTAGAGCTACTCTCTCAAATTAAAAAATCACTGTAGTACTTAGGGATCGAATCCACAAGGATTTTTGGTTATCACTCAATAGATTTTAGATTCAAATAAAGTTAAGCAATCAATAATGAAATGAAAATAAAATAACAACGAAAGCAATGATGTGAAAGGCGGATTGTAGGTTCTTAAAATCAGGAGACAAGATGCTAGGCAATGGGAAATTCGCAGGTTGACATAAATCGTAGACTACAAACTGAAAAGATTATTTATTAAAGCTGTTCTAGAACTCGAAACTCCAATGTAAAACCAATCCACTTCCGTCGCAGAGATTAACTATGATCAGATTCTAGAATTCCAAATTCCTTTGCAAATTCTAACAACCTAAACATGCATTATAGATCAGGTTCGATATGTTCACAAAATCACTAATCCAAATTCCTTTGCAACTAGTTATTTTGTTCATTTAAAATAGTTCTGGTGATTAACAATATTCCCACATCTATTAAACAGCCTAATCTGATTTCTAGAGGATAAATCTTAAAACCAGTGTTAAAGCAATCTAGATGAAGAACCGAATGATTTATCCTTCCAGTTTTGTAGTTCTAACAATTCATTATCAACCTTTGAATAACCCAAAACCTAACTAGCAGATTACTCAGACATAGCAAGTGAAACACAAATCATGGCTGAATAAAATTGCATTAAGAAAATAGAGTAAAAGATGAAGGGGTTCGAAATTCTTCTCTACAGAGTATGGATTTGTCTCCCCAAAAGCTCTCAATCTAATCTCTCTCTTAGTCTCAATGATAATCAGAATCATAGCCTAACAATGGCTTAGAAAACCTAAATACAAGTTTAAACACGAACTGGGGCAAAAGTGCAAATAGTGGAAGACTTCTGGACCAAGTTGCAATTTCTTCTAATGAGTTTTCACACTTCTTCGCGACCACGACCGGTGTCGATCGACACCAAGTGGTGGGTGTCGATCGACACCCTACTCCTTAATGCCCTCTGACTTGGTCCTTTCACCATCAACTTCGGTATAGCTCCAAAAGGTTCCAGAATCCACAATTATTCTCTATTTGTACCTAGACCTGCAAAGACTCTATAGGACTCGAAAAATACCAAAAGACTCTAGAAACAAGACTTATATCATGGTCAAAAACCATCAAAAACCATGATATATCAACTCCCCCAGACTTATCTTTTGCTTGCCCTCAAGCAAACATCAGACAATACCTAAGGTCGAGGTTTGAAAACACAGAAAAAGTCAGTCAGACATCAGGAACACCACATTGATTAACACTTTCGAAACCACATACCACAGAGTCAACACAAGATCAAATTTCAGTCTAATCATTACAGGCTTAGCAAATCTTTCAAATTCAGTTCAAGCTCCTTCAAAAAATCCGAAATCTCTACTGTTAACCTCCTTATTTCTATCTAAGTGATGTCTCATCAAGGTTTTATCATCTCTATCTCTTATAGATTCTTTTCCCTTCCTAAACAACTGATCAAAGCAGTCTCAACACAATTCTCCTATTTTCTCTTCCCTTGATCTTTTCTTCCTGATAATTTTTTTATTTTTAGCTCTTTCTCATTTTTTATAGTCTAAGATATGGCGCTGCTCAATACTTATGTTCCTAGTGAGGAGACAGGTTCTTGAGTGTGTTCACTACTGTTGTTCCTTGTGAGGAGACAGGGTCATGAATGCACCAAACTTTTGACTCAAAATATTTTAAGCTCATTCAGGGAAGATCAAAGAGAAACTGTGTTTTAATATACTTGTCAGTGGGGAAAATGGCTAATTCGTACCCCCATTCTAAGCAGTGTAGCGATTTAGCACCCGCACTATTTTGGTGTGCAAATTGATACCCCAACTCTTTATAATTAGAATATAGATACCTCGACTTTACACCATCCGACCAAAACTAACTTTGACCAACATCTCATTAGTCAACGTTCCCGATTCCGTTAACGGCGATAACTCAGCTGCCAGCTCCGTGCATATGTGGAACAATAACAAAAACGACGTCGTTTTGTCAGTTTACAAATTCAATTTTTTTCCCAAAACGACGTCGTTTTGTGTTTTGGGCTTTGACATTTGGGCTTTGATTGAACCCACTCAAATCTGATTCGAACGGTGGCATCTTGACCGGACTGAAGAAGAACTGCGATGTCACGCCTCATTTGCTTCTCCACAACTTGTCTCTTGTTCATCAGAAGCTTTATCCGAGCTACTGCCATCTTCGCCGCTATTTTGCTTTTTCTGATTAAAGGTTGAAAAAAAAGTTCATCAGATCATAGAGATCTCGCGAAATGCTCAAATCGAAAAATTTCTCATAATTCTTGCTCAATCCGATTCTCAAGCTAAGAAGTATCAATACACTAAAAAACCCTAACTTGTTTTTATTTCTTCCTACCCCAATCGAAAACGGATAACAAAGCTCAAGTACATGACCGATACAAAATTCTTCGAATTTAATTTTTCTGGGCAATCATTGAGGGAAATTAGGGATCGAAAAGGCATTAAAAGAATGGAAATGAGAACCATTTGGAGGAGTTAAATCCACGTTGGAAGAGAGAAAGACTAAAAATGAGGAGCTTCTTCGTCCAAAACGACTAAAAATATCAAAGTCTAAAACACAAAACGACGTCGTTTTGGGAAAAAAAACTGAATCTGTAAACTGACAAAACGACGTCATTTTTGTTACTGTTCCACGTGTGCACGGAGCTGGCAGCTGAGTCATCGCCGTTAACGGAATCGAGAATGTTGACTAATG